TTTTAATAATCTGTTTATATATCATTTCCCTCACTTGACTGAGCTTCAAAAAGGCAGGAATCTCCTATTACAAATTCCTCCACATGGTACACATCCAAAGATATTAAGCCTCATGGTATCAGACAAACCAAGAAAGCCCAGTCTGAATTAAAAGAATCTAAATTATAAGTCTTCTAAACAGTTACAATTCTACTACTTTTCAGTAATCTTAACTAGACCAATAATTTTATTTTGCCCTTTTAGATTTACTTTTTGAACAATGCATAACACGGTAAATGTTCCCATGGAAATTATGCTTCAAATTTATCTTGGTTTCTGTAAACACTCTTTTTTCAAATCTTTATATCTGTGTTATTTTTACTGGACAGAGTACAAAGATAAATTTTATCCTAATCCTGAGCATTGAAATGAATGTCAAAAAACTGGAACTAAGTCAGGCATTTTTAACTGAGATCCCTGAAAAGGTTTCAGAAGGTCCATAAATGCCTCAAAATTGTTAAAATTATATTTCATAAACTATAAATTATAAAAATGTTATAATTATAAAAGTTATTAAAATATCGTGTTGTGCCATTTTTCATAGCAGAAAATGACAAATAGCCCTCATCAGATCCCAAATAGGCAAGAATTGATCTAAATTAATGAAATTTTACTCCATTTCTTAGTTAGAAATTCATTTATACCAAAGAAAAATGCTTAATTATTCAGTGCTCCAAGATCATTCTGGACATGTTGTTTTGCTTCTAATAGGGTTTTTCTCTTCTATATTAGATAAACTATATTTTCAACTTTAAACCTACCGCAACTTCATTAGTATCTCCATGCTCAAAATATTCCTGTATGATTGGTGTTAAAGTTTTCTCAAATGCCGTTTCATCCAAAGGCAAAACCACAGTTTCATAAACACAGTTCTCCTGGGTGGGGAAGAGGGAGAAAGAGTTATAAATTAAAAAACAAAATATTCAGATAAATTTAAATTGTTTTCTAATTTTATATTCCAACTAGTTAGTAATCCTCATTCAGGGCAAGAAAAAGACACACTACATGCTTTGGTCACTTGTATTATATAAAAATAGAATCTATGTCACTGTTCTTTTACAAAATCTGAATACAATAAACCAATACTATAGATTAGAACCACTAACCACAGCAAATACATGACTTGTTCCCAACCTCCCATATCTTGCTACTTTTTTATATCTCTCACCAATCCTTCAGTAACCAAAAAGCTTTCAGATGGTTTCCTGTCATACCTAGTATTTTCATTAAAACTTTACTTTTTAAAAAAATGAAGCAGGAACCAAAGCCTTCATGATTAGTATTATCATAATAAAAGTCCCTATAACAAAAATCAATGTTGTAGTGACTAAAAAATCTCTAAGGAAAAGCACTATTCAACTGACATTTCAAAAAGATGATTATTGTCCATTAATCTTCTATAGCCCTTCTCCTCTGCAAAAAAGCCCTGAAATGTTTATATCCAACTTGTGACTGGCTTGAGTCTAACAACATACACTTGAAAGACTATACATTAAAATGAGAATTTTTAGCAAAGATTCTATAGTATTTAAATTCTAGTGATTTTAAAATATATTTTTTAGTGTTCTCTTAGAAATATTTCCACGTCCAACTATTAGTTAAAATAGATAAAAGTACATACAAACAATACACAATAAAAACAATCTAACGTATACTCTGATAATTTCCTTTCTAAAATTTTCAATCGTAATGCCCTACCTTATGCAAAGATAGTACTTTAAAAAATATGTCATAATGTCTGGTTATTTGCTTCAAAATAATCCAGAGCATGGGGAGCAGGGGGCTGGGGCAGACGGACACAAGAGGAAGAGTAAATGGAAGTACAAGATGAAAGATGATTAGCCATGAGCTATTAATTATTGAAGTCAGTAAAGTTGGGAGATGAGTACAGCAGGTTCATTATACTATCCTACTTTTGTATAAGTTAGATATTTTCCATTAAAAAGACAAATACATATAAATGCTCTATAAAATATATTAAAAATTTACATTCCCAGCACTGTCCCTAGAAAAAAAGATCTACATGTTCCAAAAATAAAATTTACCATATAGTTACCATCCTAAACAGCAATATTTAAAAGGAACTTAATATCTATAACTCTTTTATGATGTTCAAAAGAATATATATTCTTCTCTATTATCATTACTACAGAAAGAAACTATACTAACTCAACAGAATTTATTGAAAAGCAGTCAATTTGATAATCCTAAGTGAATTTGTAAAGACCTACTTTAAACTCACTTCAGAAATCAAGTGAAAATTATGCATACATTACTATCAGTTAACTTCATTTCCTAATCCAAAATTAACCCAACAGTCTGAAAGTACTGACTATGTATGTGATTTAGACATATATACTATACATAATCATATATATAATTTGATAGATATTAGTATAGATATAGAATATACAATTTGAAAAATGAATGAGTAAACTACAAACATGAGGTCAAAACATTTATATGCATTGTAAATATATATTTAAAAAAAGTAAAGCAATGATACCTGGTCATCATCATAGTTAGGATCCTTCACATCTACTTCCTCCACATCATATACCTGTCCAGGTGTACCCCAGACACCTTTGCCTCCTGCACCACCTGAAAACGTTTAGAATTGAGAAAGGAAAGAGCACAAAGTTCATAAATTTTCATTTTAATTGAAATATGAAATAATTCGAGATGTTCAGATGTTAATTAACAGCTAAAAGAGTGTATTTTAATTTCTATGCTAGTTCTTTCTCCAGTTGAGAGTTATAAACATCTTTTTATTCAGATCACTGCTTTTTCAGTAATGATTATATACTATATTATTTTATAACCTATTTCCCAAACATCAAGTTCAAACAGCTTATAAAGTTAAAACTATAAAGGTAGATGCTTTAAAATAAAAGCAAAAACCAAAAAGAGATCAGAAAAATAGCTATATCAGGGACCTCAAGGGAGGTGATGTTGCAGTTGAGCTCTAAATTTTATTTGACATTTCTTGGGACCAAAACAAAAAGAAATACGTTGAGCCAGTAAGATGTGACATAGAAAAATCAACAAGGGAGAAATTATTTAATAAAGAAGCACAGTGACTACTATGAAAAGTTTTAAAGTCAAATACTCTTTAGATATAAAAGTATACATTAAACTATACTCTGCAACAAGCAAATCATTGCAAATAACTAATTGCTATTTAAGCACTAACAGCACTGATTATTTCTGTCTGCTTCTATATACAAACCAACCAGAAGTTTAGCAATTCCAACTTTCACAGTTGCTTTTCTACATAAATGTACTGAAATGATTTTTTTTAAAAAAAGACTAGCACCTGAGCTAACAACTGTTGCCAATCTTCTTCATTTTTTTTTCCCTTCCTCTCCCCAAAGCCCCCCCAGTACATAGTTGAACATTATAGTTGTAGATCCTTCTGGCTGTGCTATGTGGGATGCTGCCTCAGAATGGCCTGACGAGCCATGCCATGTCCATGCCCAGGATCCAAACTGGTGAAATCCCGGGCCACGAAAGAGAAGTGCATGAACTTAATCAGTCAGCCACAGGGCCTGCCCCTGTACTGAAATGTTTTTGTAAGACTCAATATACTGCATTATTTTTAAAGAACTTTACAGTATCACCAATATTTTTTGGAGGTTTTTATAACTAGAGTATAATCCTTACCACCAGAGTAAAGCAGAATCTGATAACTAAGTTTCATTTTGATACAACCAATGGTTGTAGAGACATTCAGCAAGAGTAACCATTGTTTTATTTCGTTATTCAGGATTTTTTTGCTGGGGAAGACTCACCCCTGAGCTAACATCCATTGCCAATCCTCTTTTCTCGCTTAAGAAGATTAGCTCTAAGCTACCAACTGGGCCAAGCTTCCTCTATTTTGTATGCGGGTAACCACCACAGCATGGCTGATGAGTGGTGTAGGTCTATACCTGGGATCCAAACCCACAAACCTGGGCCACTGAAGCAGAGTGTGCTGAACTTAACCACTACACCACAGGGCTGGCCCCAGGACTAACAATTTTTGACAGATCACAAAAATATTTTGCAAGAATCCTAGACCACAAATTGAAGCTCCCACCATTTGGAAGCCGGTGAAATCTCCAAGTTGCATCAAAATTCTACTATAGACAGAAGCTGACAAACCCCTCATTCAACAAACATTTAAGTACCTACACTGCTACTCACCATTCCAGGCAGTGGAGATAGAACAGTGAAATACACCATTCCACTTCCGTACCCAAAATAATAGAGCTAAAGAAAACTCAGAACCCGATCTATGAAATCATTAAAATTCTGACCCAGGTATTACCAAATTTATATTTATCATGTATTATATTTATCATTACCATTCTTAACAATGGACCTAATTAGATTCATTAGATAATAGGTATGATAAATTTCTGACCCCACTTCTTTCAAGTAAAGTTAGAGAGTACACGCACAATTCATAACTGTGAAAAGCATCTGTGTGTATTTTGCTGGAAATGAGAGAAAATTCTGCTCAAGAAAACTAAATATATTCAAACAAGAAAAAGGCTCAACTTAAAGAAAAAGTGGGATAGTCCTCAGATTATTACTATGTAAAAATATACACAAACATAAAACCTTACATCATCATTGTTTAAATTTCTCTCATTCCTAAAGTAAGGAAATTGTAGTATAAGAACCGACAGTATTTTTTTTCCATTTGTTTCTTTGGCCATGGTATATACCAACCTTTCTTTGGTAGTCCCCTTCCTTTCCCAGATCTGGATCGCCTGTCTAGCAACCTTCCCTTTGGACTGGTTGGTACAGTTACTCCACTTCTAAGGGCTTCACTTCCGTTATCACTGACCGAATCGCCTCTGCCAGAGTCCCGGGATGAGTTTTTCCGTAGTCGTCTTTTAGCCTTGGCATTAATTCTAGCTTCATTAATGGAGGATGCCGAAATCCAATTTCCATTTATCTCATTCTTTATTTCCTCAGTCCCAGTATTTTCTTCATCGCCAGAAAAGAGAGAGTCACTTAAATTATCAGGATCTTAAAGAGGAAAATGAAAAAAGAAAATTCTATGTAAGTATTTTAATCATCTACTCTTATACCAGGTATAGTTTTAAATTACATTAGGTTGAATCACATGAAATTACCATTTTTGTAAGTCAGGAACAGTCGCATATTGTCAATTTCATATGGTTCAACCTAATAAATGACAACTAAGTATGATTAGTTTCCATATTATCATGCAAAGTAAACTAATGCATTGAATTTTAACGAACAAAGTTTACTGAAACCATATTATCTCATGAGTTTAGATCATAAAATCCATGTTAATATAAACACCAAATATAAAACCTTTAGATTTTTGTGAGCTAACAGAGTGAAGCAATTGGAGATAGTCAGAAGAGACTAAGGATCTTGAAAGAAGGGAGATAAACTAATATTTACAGAATGCCTACCATTCATCGGGCATTATGCTGTTATTTACCCACAAGTTTGAGAGCTTTATTACATCATTTATAGAGATACGGAAACTAAGGCTGAGAGTATTTAAATAACTTGCCAAACACCTCATGATTAATTACAGTTACCTAGGAAATATTACTAATCCAAAGAGTCTGAAAGGCATTTGGCAAAATAAGTGATCACATATGATTACTAAAGTGAACTGCTGATGCTTCACTGCTTTCAAAAATAAAGCTTGCTTTCAAAGTCATCATCTCAAAGTCCTAATGCATCTCTCCAAACTTGACTCCTATTACTTACCTTCCTCTGAAAATCTTCCAGCCTATATAAGATTTGCACCTTATCCCCTGAAAGACAGTAACGTATTTGGAGTTCCCAATGGTCCCGTTTAGAATGTCATGCTCACTACTCTTTTCAGTTATCAAAATCCTTTAAGATACAGCTCAAGTCTTACTTCCTCCCTGAAAACTTTCCTAACAGTTCTAACCACAAGAACACTAATGTTCACACAACATTCATTTACGACATCACATAAAACACTTTATTTTTATATAGCAGTCTTATTTTTCCAAATAAGTCATAAGCCTCAAAAGAGGAACCATGCCTATTCTGTACTTCTTTGTATCCTCAGCATCTAGCCGAGTATCCTGCCTACTATCAACTCAAATGTCCCTGGAGATCATATGACATGGAAACAGTCAACTTTGCTCCAAAAACTTTGTAAGTCAGAAAGTTACTGAATTAGTTACCCCTGGGCCAGAGTTGTTTATTATGGCTAACTCAAGTCAGAGTTGAATCCCTGAAATGGTTTTAAATATTCCCAATTGTAATTAGGATGTGTCAAGTCTACGTGCATGGGCTTTAACATGTTGTAAGATAATATACTGAAACTAAAAATTGTTTAAATCTACCTATAAAAAGCATAGATGTGTCAAAATCTTTATAATTCTTGACAAGAAGTATAAAAGTTAGGAACAAACATTGTGGTAATCAAAAAACAAACAAAAACATTAAGTAGAGTCAAATTACTTCCTAAGTCTCAGAAAGCAAAGCAGTCTCCTTGCCTTTGGTCTTCAAACCATTCTCCAAACTGCATAGAGACTGATTTTCTAACACATGCCCCCACTGAAAAACCCTTTCAAAGCATTCCCACTGGGTCAAAATAAAGTGTTAACTCATTACCTTGTAACTTAAGGTCCTTCCATGATCTTGCCCTTGCTAACATCACCAGAATGATTGCTGACCACTCCCACATTCAAATGGTCAGAGCTTGGACATCATAGGTAGGTGATGGGGGATGAGTTTGGCAGAACAATACAGAATATATTAGAAAAAAGAGAAAGTGGGACACTGGCTAAGAAAATGTTGCAGTAATTCAGTCACGAACTAACTGGAAGGGGCAAGGGTAATAACTTTGGGGTAAATAAGAAAGTGACACTCAAAGAAAAAATAAAGGCCTTTTAAACAGAATAGATTAAAGAAGAGTGAAACAATGTCTTAAAAGTTTTTAGACTAAGAGAGGAAGACAGTGTTAGAAAGGTGAGTTTGGGGCATCATCATAACTAAACTACTATGATTACTAGGAGTCATAAGTATACTAAACTACTATGACTACTACTACTACTTGTCATTACCTTCACTATTGTTACATTCTAGAAACTGTGCTAGGCACTTTAGATATGTGGTCTATAATCCTCACAAAGCTCTATAATGAAGCTGTTTATCCTCATTTAGAGATGGAAGATGTTTCATAGAAAAGTTACATATGTAAAATGGATTACGGCCAGGATTCAAATCCACATTTGAATCTCAGATGACCGTAACTGTAGAAAATATAAAGCCAGAATACAGCAGAGCGGTGACAGCTAAAGAGACAGGATGAACAAGAGAGTAAATGTAAAGAGAGAAAAGCAGAAGATCAAGAGGAAGGAGAAGGAAAGACTAGAGATCAGACAAATTAGATGGGGTTTCAAGTAAGTGTGGGTGATGGAAGAAAACATTAAACATCCAGTTGTAATGTACTGCTTTCATTATTCTACAATTAAGGTGAACCACCAAACTCATCCAAAAGATAAAGGACTTAGAAGTATAATAAAATACTCAATATTGTCCCTTGTAAAATATTCAATTTAAATATTTTGCCACACCTGAGTTTCTTTTCTTCAAATATTTTAATATCTTTTCAAATATATCTTTGTGTGTCTGCAGTGGCAGACACACCTAGGTATATTTTGTATATCAGACCTTATAACTTTTAACCCATGTCTATATCAATTGTTCTTTTATAGTTGCTATTCACACTCAACTAAGTTTTGAAGTTCCATAACCACTACCAATCTGACTTTAAGAAAACCAAAATTAAAAAGATAAAAAACCTGAGTACAGAATGTGGTAACCTGAGTACAGAATGTGGTGACTTCAAAATTATTTTCTACCATGTACCAATTCCCTCTTTCTGAATTCTCTGACATCTCGGTAGTAACCAATCCAACTTATACTCCCACAGTACCAGACAACTGCATTTTCAATTACTGGTCCACTGAGCGGGATAATTAGGATTAATATTAACATATTTTCACTTGTTACATACATAGCATGTGCTATGGGCATGACACACATACACTATATCTCACTTAGTCCTAACAATAAAGCTATAGAGATAATATTGAGTATTTATACCCCAGCTTTATACATAATGAAACTGAAGGTCATAGCAAATAACTTACTTCCCCCAAGTAACAGAGCTGGTAAAAGTGGAAGCTAGAATTAGTACACTAGTCTGTCTGACTTGGACTATTTGCTACAGGAAAAATTTACTGCAAAGATGGTTTGTCTTGGGCACATCCAAGTATTGAAGAACTATAAGTCTTTTTTTTTAAGGCATAAGTGGGCAGAGGCATCAAAAACAGGGTTAGAACTAGGACTTGTTATAGTCAGAAAACAAAAAGTATAAAACTTACAGCTGTGCTGTCTAATAAAAATATAATGAAGACCAAATACGTAAGTTTATATTTCCTTGTATCCATATTAAAAAGTAAGAAGAAACAGGTGAAATTAATGTTCATATATTTTATTTAATCTAATAGACCCATTTGATCATTTCAATATGTTAATGAATATAAAAAGTTATTGAGGTATTTCACCTTCTTTCCTTCATACCAAGTCTCTTGAAATCTGGCGGATATTTTGCACCTACAGTACATCTCAGTTCAGACAAGTAACATTTCAAATGCTCAATGGCCACATAGGGCTAGTGGTTATCATACCGGACAGTGCAGAAAAGAAGCAATTATCCATATGGGAAATACATTTTTAAATTGTATTATCATCATCCCCACCTCACTGATGCAGGAACATTATACCATTTATAATCCTAAAAAGCAAGTACTTATATAGCTATTGTATATAGCAGCACCAAAATAATCATTAATTATTGCAGTAAGTTTTTTTAACTATAATTTTCTAGCACACTTTAAATCAGAAAGTTTGTAAATATAAAATGGCAAAGAAGTTTCAACTTCAAAGTGTCTGCTCTGATCAAAGAAAACTATATAACTTTTATACAATAGTGAATCAAAGTCACTGAAAAAAGGAAGCTATAGTATTAAAAATGAAGTATGATAAACATACTTAAATTACAGAAAATAGAAATCCTTTCAATATTAATAAAATTATAAAGCAAAGAATTATCTAACATATACCAATATGAAAAACACTCTCTGTTGAGAATATCTCAAAATCCTATTTAACTCTCTACAAAGATTATTCTGAAAGCTATAAATACATTTTAAATTGTCTGAAGTTACTCAGCATTTGGATATCTATTCCACAAAACCAATTTTATGATAATAATGTGACTTTGAAACACCATGGAAAATCAAGGAAAATACCCATAGGTAATTTATATAAATTATTAATTAGGAAAGATATCAAAGATACCAATAATAGTTTTTATTGTAGAAATCACTAATTAGCTCATGTGAAAACACTAATCAGCAAGTTCACTACTCTCCATTCTGTACCATATAGTTTATTATAAATACTGGAGAATAAGAATGTATGGAATATCAAAGGATAGGCAGAAAAACAAAGACATGAGGGCCAGCCCGGTGGTGCAGAGATTAAGTTCCCACGTTCTGCTTCTCTGCAGCCCGGGGGGTTCACCAGTTCAGATCCCGGGTACAGACAGGGCACCACTTGGCAAAAAGCCATGCTGTGGTAGGCGTCCCACCTACCACAGCATGGATGGGCATGGATGTTAGCTTAGGGCCAGTCTTCCTCAGCAAAAAGAGGAGGATTGGCAGTAGTTAGCTCAGGGCTAATCTTCCTCAAAACAAATTAAAAAATAAAGACATGATAAATTTCCATAAAAATAAGAACCACAAACTTGATTTTAAAAATCAAGTTTTTATTGATTTTCTTGTATTTTTCATGCTATTTTGTAATAGCATGATTATATGTTACAATACAAGCATCATGTATTGTAATTTCATGCTATTTTCTTGTACATGAATAAGAGAGTTTTTAAAATAAAGACAGTATTAATATGATGTTTTCATAAAATCTGGTATGCCCTGAAACTTGCTCACAACACAACGTTCAACATAGGATTACTTACCTGTGGAGTTTACATTTAGTATCTGCTCGTTTTCTACATCCATTGTTCCTTAATTTTGCTTGCACTGATTAAATTACCAAATGGAAGTCTTCCTTTGGGAGCTATTTCTTTAAAAAAAAAAAAGAAAAATTTCAACATCTTCCAAACCGATATAATTAAGGTATATTCAGTTTACTTAATCACACTGTAAAAAAAAAAAAAAAAAAAAAAAAAAAAAATCACCAAATAATTCCTTTTTTTTTTTTTTAAACAGTTCACTTTCAAGGATACTTTCAAGGATAGCTTACCCTAATTAATGTCTGGTTTCAATCTCCTTGACAAGCTTATCTGTGTCAAAAAAAAAAAAAAAAAGCGCCCGTATTTCCGGATGTATCAAAGCATCCCTTAAACTTGGAATTAAAAGATATATTTGCTATACAGTTTATTTCAAGTTAAAGGAGTATATACACACTCAAATTTTTTAGGAATACTCAGCCTCGTAATTAATCTGATATACATAAATACTGGAGACTTTGCTACCAATAAATTATGAGAACTACCACAAAATACAAACACCAGTTTTGGTTAATCAAGAATAGCACATGATAGTGTTACTTTTCATACTACAACATATCTGAAGGCAGATATATCTGCCATTTCATCACCTAGGTATCTATAATTACTATTGTAAGACATTGGGAGAAAATTTTTAAATCAGCATTTTCTATAATGACAGCACTATTTTTACAATCTGAAAAATCCATTCTTTTTTTTAAAAAGTCCTGCCTATTTTAGAAAGAAGTACAATATCAGCATCTTGATATTTTACACCTTGGTTTCAAAATGGCTTAAAAATTATTAATGCTGGAAGGTTTTGATGAAATCAATTAACTTCTATTTAGATAATTAAATTAGTGATACAAATTCAATCTTATTTGAAAGAAAGACTATCAAGATATACTTTCATAAAAACTATTATCAGAAGGTATAACCAAAATATGATTTCAGAATCTCTCTGGAAATATTTTTTAAATAGCAGTTTAGAGTACTTAAGTATTTATCTGTTTAAGTCATATAGGTTAGATCTAAGTCCTTCCAGTCACTTACAGTCATTTCACTAGCA